ACTCTGGGACTCCGGGAAGGAAGAAAAGAAGGAAAATCAGGAAAAACAGGAGGGGGGTCCAAAATGCGAGGCTGTCAGTAAGGTACCCAGAAATCCCGGCACCACCCACACCTCCACTCACCTGACCCTGGTTGTTAACATGTTTCACTCCGGGCCACTGAAACTGAAGGTGGGTCACCACACAGCAAGAAAAAAAAAGAATATCGATATTACAGATAGAAAGTATTTGTGAAAGGTGGTTTATTTCCATTTGGGACAATGCATGAATTTTACCAATGAAAAGATATAAATATAATTAGAACTTTTACATTAATTTTGAAAGTGTCTATAAGTATGCAGCGGGAAATGGAACTTCCGCCCCGGACTTCGGGTTTTCAAATATATTGTTGCATACTTTTAGACACCTCTGGAGTCAGGTAATGGATATGTTTGGGGATTAAGAGGGCTTATATGTAAAATATGAATTTCCTTTTTCATTTTTTCTCTCTGCAACCCCCCATCCCCTTGGCCACCGGATGTTCCGCGTGTGGGTTGTCATACGAAAGGCAAATTTTAATGCCAACATTGACAGGTAAGCGGCATATGTGTGAGTGTGTTGTGCTGGTGTGGGTGGGCAACCGAGCGTATAAGCCAGGCGAAGAGGAGACGATAAAAAAGGACTAAGAGGGGAGGTTTGGGGGATGGCAGGACCTCCCACGCATGACACTGTATCCAGGCACTCAGACGTCGCACAGCTTTAGAGCCAATTGTGCCAACTGTGTGTGTGTGGGTGACGTCCTGTTCATCCTGCCTCTGTGCATGTATATGTATTTGTCATTATTGGCAGCTTAGGCAGCACTCACACACGCACAGAGCAAAGCGAAAAACAAATCGAAAAAATATTAACAACTTATTCCTTTTGATTTTTTATTGGGCCATCGGCTGTTGCCACGCTTATTCAGCTGAAATGCGAGTGTGTGCTTGTGTGTGCGTCGGCTTATCTGTGTGGCATTTAAAGGCTCTCAATTTCAGTGTGTTTTTGGCTTGAAACGGCCACTGGACCAGCGCAAGCACGTTATCCACCGGTCAGCTCCATTAGAAACCGACTCGAATTGTCTTTTTTTTGCAGGGGGATTAGGGGCAAAGTATATTTGTCACTTAAGGGCAAGAATTTGTAATGCAATTGAGAAGGAAAACGATACAGAGTGCCATAGAAACGGGTGGCGAATACCTTTGGGAGGCTAAATTGATAAATTGGGAATAAAAACATATAACATTCACGGCAACTTGTTTAGATAATATTTTAAGATGTATTTTAAGTTGAAATCAATTAAATAAAATTAATAAAGGACAGATAAAAAAAATTAAATAAATAAAAAATGTAAAAAGTGTAGGTTATATATAATATTTATCATTGTATTCAGAGAAATGTTTTTCATTTAATTTAATTTAATTTTTGAATTCAGAGAAACTGTTTTAATTTAATGCCAGCAAAATAAATAAATTGAAAAATTGTAAATAAATTCTTTTCTTTCTTATTTATTTAGATACAATATTTAAATTCAATGATAATAGTCTATAAGAAACAAAATACCATTTTATTACCTTTGTAGTATGTGCTATAATATCCTTATCCTAGTGGCTAAATATTGAAAAACATTTCAAAATGGAACCCTCTCAAGCTGAGTTTCGTTTCTGTCACCATCCCACTTCGCAACGACGATCGTCCTTTCATGCATACATATGCGCTCATTTCACGCCTCGTGTTAATGGTTCTATACACACATCCACTTATGAGGCGGGGTGCCAAAATAACGAGGCGAAAAACCGAGGGGAAAACCGAGGGGAAACCAAGAGCGTGAACCGAGAAAGAAAATGGAGCCACGGCAAACAGGCAGGCATGAAAATTAATGATATTTTAATGTAAAAACAATACCAGCCACTTAAGCCGCATTCGTATCAATGGCCCAGTGAGTTTGAGTGTGGGTGTATTTCAATTTTCCCGGGAAAACTCGTGAGGCTGAAGCCCTAAGCCCAAAAAGCTGATGAGCAACCCCGAAAAATTGGTAGAACCACCGGGGAGCATAAACAACCCACCGATTTCCCCCTTTTTTCCTTGACTCGCTGGATTTGCGTTTTTATTCCTTAAATTTTTGTTTCACTGATATCGGCGCACACGGCGTATACGAAATTCTACTTTCATACGCCCGAGTATATTGAAATTCAACGTAGTTTCGCCGCCCGAGCAAAGAACAGTGAACTACCGACGGAATGTTCAAAAATCAAATTATTACTCTGCTGTTATTTTTCTCGTTGCAACGAAAAAAAAAGATGAAAATGTACAAAATAAATATGGAATATTGCTGGCTGGGCGCAGGGAAAAAGGTGGCTGGAATATACATTTCAAGGCTGTAATTGTTTGCTCTGGGACTTCCCTTTCCCCTTCGCCTTTCCTTTTTTTTTTTTGACGAAGCTTTGTTTGCTTCGCCCGAGTCCTTTGTTGGACGAAATTGAAGTTGAAGCTTTGTGCAGCATTATCTGAGCATTGCCTGCGGAAAAACCTTTCTACACAGGCAACGAAAAAAAAATGTATAAAAAAATTAATAAATACAAAAATAGCAAGAAAAGTACAGAAAGAGATAGTGCTGCAAAAGGTCTGCCAATTACGAATGGAAATGCAAATAACAAATAGCAAATAACAAGGCTGCCTCCTAAAGGAATCCAGAATGCAGGCGGAATGCAGAATCGATAAATACTATGTGTACATTATAAATTCGCGCAGCCTTATTATTATTATTATTATTATTATGAGTTTCCTTTTTCTTTCCTCAAATCAGTGTTATTTGAGGAGAAAGCTGAGACTGAGGCTGAAGTCCTCCTGCCGCCAATCGCCGGAATTCCCTTTTAATAAAGTCCCAACTCTGGCAGCTTCTGTCGCCCGGGGGCCGCTTTGAGGTGGAAACTTTGTGGAATCCAAATCGGGACATGAGTTGGCTGCCAAGCAAACTTCGCCCATGAGCATAAGTGTAATTAAATTTACGCATGCCCTGCCATCTCTCCATTTCTCCATCTTGAGCACCTGCCCTCGAGTGGCGGGTAACTCTGCACCGGTAAAAAAATATAATGTCATTCGATAAAAAATATATATTTTATAAATGAAAATATATTATTGATAATAATAAAGGTGTATTTTTTTTAGAATTTAGAAGAAACTCAACTGTTAAAATATTTAAATAAAATTAGCACTCTACAATATGAAAATTTGAAAAAAGCCAATTTTCTTTAAATTGTAAAATTACATTTAAATTTTAGTAACAAATAACTAATAAAAGAAAAAAATCAACAAAATATATTATTCAAAAATTCAGATTTTTCTTATTTTTAAACTGTATGTTTTTCTAACTTTATTTCGCATGTGTGAACTGCCACAGCTCCTCGGAAATGTGAGTTAAATCTGAGTGAATCTAGCGTGTGCTTTTCCACGAAATCCCCCCACCAAGCGGCCCAATTTTTGAAGGGGCCTCAAAGAGCGCTTTGATTTTCTCACGCCGATAAAATCAAAGACTCCAAGGACAGACAGCAAGATTTAGGGATTAAGGAGGGTGCGATTTCGATTCCGATTTCGAATCCGATTCACGACGAGGGTCTGGCAGATGTCCCACTCCAGAGATTTGGCGCTAATTCACTTTGGCGCGACTAACCAAATTAATTGCTGACAGTTTTCGCCAATACGTGATTTCTGTTTCGATTTTGCTATTGCTTCGATTTGCCTCATATTTATTTAGCCAGCAGCGTGAGGGCAAACTCAAATATATGCGCATAAATTACGCAGACGGCGATTCGAGTTTCCGGCTGCTTGACTGCCCAACGATTCAATTAAATGGCCCCGAAAGCTAATCGGTTGGGAGAAGAGAGATGTCAAGACCTCCTGAACCCAGAACCCAGAACCCTGAATCCTGAACCTCTAACCCACTTTTCTGTCTGCTTGGGACAGGTGAAACTACTCCCAAAAATTGGAAGTCAGAAATCCAGATATCAAGAAAGCCCCTTTGAAGACGGCCACTAGTCTGTTTCAATTTGCCTCGCATTTATGGCCAACTAACTTTTCCCACTCTGCCATTGACAGGCTTTCCCAAAACACACACACCCACACACACAGAAAGTTTTCGGGGGAAATACGAAAAAGCATTCGGATTGAAAATGCTTTGCAGCCATGTCAAAAACATTCGCCAAGTGCAATCGAACGGAGCCAAAGGTAATTGTAATTAATTTGCTAGAGCGACTGAAACCGAAAATTAAACTGAAAATGAAACTGAACTGAAACGGCAACAAAAGCGCCAATGCGAAAGCCACATTGATGCCCCTGCATAAAATTCCGAGTGTCGGATTGTTGGTTTTATTTCAACAAAGTCTATTCGGTTTTTATGCTGGCCAAAAACCAATTGAAACTATTTCGGGAATTGTTTACCGAGAGTAAATTGAGTTGCGAGTGCGTTAGCTAAAATACAATAGAGGGAATATGATAAGTAATTGAAAAAAATCATGTAAATGGTTTAGGTTTTATTTCAAGGGAATATTTATATTAAAAAACTAAAATCTAGATCTAGTTTTTTGGGCCAGAGTTGTTTTTATTATAACCAATTTTTTAGGAATCCCTTTGAACAATCCTCGATGTAAATTTGCATAATTTCTTTACTGGATATTAACCATTTTTTTAAACGATTTTTTAATTTAGATAAATATTTTCGGATTATAAAGTGCTGATCCGATTTTTCAAATTTTTTTAATCTATGTTTTTTGGATAATCCGAAGTGTAAATTAAATAAATTTCTTTACCAAATATAAGTATTGCTAAATGACTTTTACAAAATATTCACAAAAAATACAAAATACAAAATATTCCTACAAAATTATAAATTCAATTTATTAATTTCCTATTTACATTTTTTTTATCAAAATTTTTAAAAGTATTTTTTGATTCAAAAAATTGGGATATAATATTTCAAATATCTTTAGTTTCTTCTTTAGATTCTAGTAGATTACTGACTAGAATTTGTTAACATAAAATAGAAGCAAAATAAACTATAATTTCTAGATTTTAAATATTTGAAGCAGATATTCTTAATTTTATTTTGTGGCAGAGCAAGGGGACAGGAGAAAAGTACGCTCTAACTTCAGATCCTAGTAGGCGTCCCTTTGGCGAAGTCGGCGATTGCGCTCCTTTTTGTCCAAATACGTGGTCAGCGAGGACTTGTTGGGCACTGTGACCAAAACAGGAAGCAGCTGATTGCATCGCTGCATCACGTTGCGAAGTCTCTTGGCCGTATCGTAATCGAGAATAATAATGCCGATGTTCGCGCGCCTGTAAACGGCGAGAAAGAAGCTCTCCAGATCCTCCTGCGGCGTTTCTGTGGAATCGAAAACGAGTTAGTGGCAGTCAATCGATGGGGTTTTCCTCTCCGCTTTCCTTACCGCTTTCCACCATCATATAGTTGCGAAACCTGTCCCTTTGGTAGCCAATGCCAGCCAGCAGAAAGCCCAGTGTTACCTCCTAAAGGAGACAAAGGAAAATATGCTTAAAACTTTAGATCAGTAATCGGAAATCCTCAACCCACGGGATCGGCCATGACCGCAATTCGCAGGACATTCGGATCTTCCACAGCTTTGATATAGATCTGCATCTCGCTGTCGCTCAAATCGCTTTCGCTACCCGATTTTGGCCCCGCCTCGGACATTCTGTCCGATTCGTGCTTTGGCGTCATAGCCTTCTTCCTGGATGCCATTTCTAACTGATTCCTGATCCCCTGTCTCTGCTCGAAAAAAAAATGGAACAGAAAACAAAGAGGTAGTGGGATTATCAAAAAATGTCTAGAACAAATCTTGAAAATAAAAATCAGAAAAATATTTTAAATTTCTTAAGAATTCGCGTAATCATGGATAGTCAGCCTAATCTTGAGAAATCGCCATCCAAACAGCACCCATTTTCCTTCTGTTTTTTTTTTTTTGTTGATTTGTTACAGTGGCCAATTATAGAAATTAGTTCGCGAATTCTTAGGTTTTTAGATATTAGCTACAGCAAAATGTATGGTACAATTAGGGAAAAAATAGGTTTTCCCTTTGTTTTAAATTTTACAACATTTTTCTAAAAAGTAGGCACTGAGCTTAGCGTTCTGTCCATTTGCCCAGGCTGTGAACTTCTCCAGATCATTATTTCAAAATTCGTTGTACGGAACACACGTGTTTTTTCTGCCATATATATTTTTTGATATTTTTACGGTAAAAAAATTGTTTGTACTACAAATTAGATACATTTTTTCTACTCCAACATTTGTTTTTTAGGTCCTAACATTTTGTGTATAAAATATTCGAAATGCCCCCGGCGCATCATCCGTCCATCTTAGATGATGATGAGGAGTCAACCATCCAGCAAACCGAACCCATAAGCTTGCCGCTTCCGGAACCGACTTCTCCTGACGAAATCATCATGTACCTCATTTCCATTGAGATACCCATTTTTAGTACACTCACAATAAGTAGAGCTTTACGCATTTTCCAATTGTGCAACGAGGGTCTGAGTACCGACTTGTGGATTGCCATAGGGGTCGCGCCACTGCCACCCAAGCCCATTGAGGTCGATTCCATTGCGCACGAGTTTGATTATATGGAACTGTTCGTGCTAGTTGACCAGGGTAATCTGGAGGTCATCAGAGAGTGTGGATTTCTCCAGTTGCTTTGCATGAATTGTGCAGTCAACCTTAGCCCAGAATTTTCATTTGAATAAACAAACTTTTGCGTGGGGCAAAGTGTTTTATATCTACTTTTTAATGAGTTTTCGATAAGGAAATGTCCCTCCTCGATGAACTCACTATTGTTCAGTTCCTTTCATTTTTGGTGGTGTTATAAAATGGTTTTTGGGGCTTGGCTTAAAGCTATCCGCAGGACATTTGTATCTTCCGCAGATTTTATATAGATTTGCATCCAGCTCAGGCGTTCCACTCTTCATCATGTTGCCTAAAAAAATGAAATGAATTCTCTAATATATATTTTGAAAGAAAAATATAATTACATAATACGTAATACCATTAGTTTTATAAAACAGACAAATATTTTGAATTTCCCAAGAATTCGCGTGAGCATGAATGATCAGTTAAATCTTGAAAAATCGGCAACCAAACAGTATCTATTTTCCTTTTCTTTTTTAGGTCGTTACAGTACCCAATTATATAAATTCTTAAGATTTGAGAATCCTGGTATAAAAAAATGTATGACAAAATCATGGGAAAATGTTGCATACCCCTCGTCGTAAGTTTTTAATTTTTTTTGGAAAAGTAAGCTGTGAGTTTAACGTTCGGCCCATTTTCCCATTTGCCCAGGCTGTGAACTTTTCCAACTCAGTCTAACAAAATCCTCGGCAGTGAACACACGTGTGTTTTTGCTACATAAAATATTTTTCGTAATTTTACTTTGATAAAATTTTGTGTACCAAAAATTCGATACATTTTTGATAATCCAAATTAGATAGATTTTTTCATACCCCAACGTTTGTTTTTCTATCCCAAAATTTGTATATAAAATATTCGAAATGGATGCCCAGCTCAAGCAGAAGTCCAGTTCACAAGAGTCAAGTTTCTCGTTCAACCAAGGAGAGTCAAGAGTCGAGAGTCAGTCTTCGTTCAACCATGATATCACACAGGATCGAACCCACGATATCCCCCAAGGAGAGTCAAGGATCGGGAGTCAGTTCTCGTTCAACCATGATGTCGAGAGTCAGCTCTCGTTAAACCATGATATCGAGAGTCAGCTCTCGTTAAACCATGATATCGAGAGTCGGCTCTCGCTCAACCATGATATCGAGAGTCAGCTCTCGTTAAACCATGATATCGAGAGTCACCTCTCGCTCAACCATGATATCGAGAGTCAGCTCTCGTTAAACCATGATATCGAGAGTCAACTCTCGCTCAACCATGATAGCACCCAGGATATTAACCAGGAGGAGCCAAGGGCCGAGGGCCAGAACTCGTTCATTAAAAATAAGACCAAATCAAAGGATATCACCGAAGTTGTAGCCGGAGATCTCACCCCCATCACGTTTGAGCTACCCAAGGAGGTTCCGGATAATAAGAATGGTGTGTTATGCGTGATTAATCGCATGAACAAGGGTCTGAGCACCAAGAAGTGGATTGTGGTGAAGTGGCCGCACATAGCAGCCAATCCGGAGGAGCGGGAGAACCTGGATGTTTTGGTACTAGTTGATCAAGAGAGTCTGCAGTACATCGCGAAGAAGGGGTTCCTTCACTTTTTGTGGTTCCAAATGGCTGTCAATTTGAAGCCGGACTTGTAGACATACGAAGGGACTTGCTTTTGCATCAGAGTTAAAAATTGATCGATAATTTCGATGTGTTGACAGTATAATAATATAATTATCGATAATGAGTTTTCGATAAGAAAAATTTGAGAGTTTTACGGCCTTTCGTTTTTTGTGGTGTGACTAAATTGGTTTTTTAATTTGCATTTTATTTTAATTATTCCGTTTTTGGGGCGCTTGGCTTCAGGCTCTTTTTGGGGGCCAAATGAAGCCCGAAATGAAAATTCAATTATGACATGAGTTTACATATTTTGAAGTGAGCTTTGTGAGTGTGTGTGTCGAGGAAATTCTGTGGAAAATATGAAATGTGTCTTTAAGAGAGAAAAGCCTGCCATTGACTTCATTTCGGCTTATAAGCGCTCAATAAACTGTAGGCCCAGGTAATGCATTTATTTCACTTAATTAGTCCGTGTTGATTTGATTGGCAGGAGCTTAGGAACAATGGCGATGTGAAGTGAATAGACTTAATGGACTTAAGTCCCCTTCACTCGGAAATCCCTCTTGAAACACACACACTGCTATGCAGAAACTTAAACTTAAATGCCATGGGAAATATGTGGATTCATGCACTTGTATGCAAATCCCTGGCATGTCCGACAATCGGCGAATTATTGCGTTAGTAGTGAATAATGCGTTAACAACGACAAGGCCAAATCCGATGTGAATGTGGATGTGTGTATCTATGTTCGATTAAGCCCAAGAATGCCAAAGATATGTGCTGTTGGCTTGGCCGGCAAACGCAAAAATGCCACATTCTCCGGATATTTGCAGGCTGCCTGTCCGAATGACAGCAATCCCAGCCAGAAACTCGAGCAGAAATCACAACTCCATTGATTTCGCTTGAATCGCAGGTGCAAACTGAGGGAAATTCAATTTTGCTGGATTTTTGTGGCACAGCTTCGGAGAATTTTTAACCAAATTTTAATGTTAGTCGCACTTTTTAGGAATATTTCTTAAATAAGCAATATGAAATCATTTGTTAATGTATATCTATAATTAAATTTTATATTTATTTAAAATATTTTAATGTATAGGTTTTTTTCCATAAATAAATATAGCTTAAATTAATAACTATAATTTTTTTAATAAATATTATAATACCATTTTGAGTGGTTTAAATTACTCCTGCGACTTATTATTAGGTTTTTGCCAGCAAAGTTCTTGCAAGGGTATTGGAAACCAAAGTCATCGCAGTGACACGTATTTATTTACTGCACACTTTTATCGCGCCCACTTTGCACGAGGGGAATGGCTTTGTTTTCGAGTCCTCCGCCTGATTGGAGCCGAGAATTCTCATTAAGGACATGTCGGCGGCGAGTCCTTGGCCATGCGGTCCGTTTGCCATCGGAAGAGTTAAGCCTGCCTCGCAGACACACGCAGATGCTGCACATGTTCGCATAATGTAGCGAATGCTGCGAGTCCTGCGAATCCTTGCCGTGTCCTTGCCGCACCGCTCATCCGCCCACAAAGGCGGTGCAACTTTAATAACAGCACAAGCACAAATTGCGTAAGCCGCCAAAAACCATTAATAACTTTTCGTGCACCTGCAAACGGTGAATGGCGAATGGGGAGCGCATTTTCCACGGCCAACGGTTCGTATGCGCGATATTTGCTCTCGCTGCTCGTTTCCTTTGCTTTCCCACTGGTGAGCCTTTTAATTATTGATTCCGTTGCCATTGAAGTGATTAATATTTTGCGAGCAGCCAAAACGTGGCCGCAGGACATTCGGAGCGGGATCCGTGAACTCCGGTCCAAGGACTTTGGACTTTGGACTCCTGGAAAGCCACTCGAATTCACACTGGACCACTGCGGCCAGGGGCTTCCCAAAGCGATTGCCACTGATTGTTTTATTTCGCTCCATAATTGCATTTTCTTGTCACGGCCATATGTGTGTGTATGCTGTGTGTGTGTGTGCTGTGTGTGTGCAATACAAGCGCACAAATTTGCCCAGAGAGTTGGACCCACATTTACAGTCCTTCCATTTGAGTTGTTAAGCGTCTGTCAGTGGGGAAAACAGGTTAAATAATTAAAGGAAACATGTTCAGTGCATTCGAGAGAGCAGTGAAAAGCGGTCGGTTAAAAAATACCAGGCATTTTATGTGTTATTCTATTGTATGTCATGTTTAATTGAAACTGAGTTTGAAAACTAAAAGACTTACATATGCGCAGCTAATGGCAATCAAATAATTTAGCAGTTTTTGCACTTAAGAATAAATTGAATATTTAATAAATTACAAATTGTATAAAATATTAAGTAATTAGTTTAAGTGGAAAATCAGGATTTTGGCAAACACACAATAATTTTATGTGACTGAAAATGGGGAAAATTTTATTTTTTCAAAATCGCATTGAAAGTAACATGGATTTAACTATTATATTCAAATCTGTTCAAAACAGTATTAATTTTTGCTAAAAGACCATTTTTGGCCAAGTTACAGCAAAAAACAAAAAAGTCATCTTTTTGCCAAAAACTGAAATCCTGAAATTCTACGAAAAAAAACAAAACGGGTTTTTCGCTACAACAAAGCAAATACTCATTTAAAGTATGGATTGTCATACCTTTCTGAACTCGTTATTAAATTTCCTAACGATTGGCATTTAAACCTTGACATTTTACTTATTTTTAATTTTTCGCAAAAAATCATGGGGTACCCCCTTATAAAAAAATTAAAAATTGGCGAAAATTTTATTTTTCCAAAATCACACGGAAAGTGTTATGGATTTAAAGATAATTTTGTTATCTGTTCAAAACAGTATGTATTTTTGGTGTAGGACCATTTTTGGCCAAGTTACAGCAACAAAACCAAAAGAAAAAATTCGAATTTTTGCCAAAAACTAAAATCCCGAATTTCCAAAAAAAAACAAAACGGGTTTTTTCGCTAAAACAAAGCAAATACTGATTTAAAGTATGGATTGTCATACCTTTCTGAACTCGTTATTAAATTTCCTAACGAGTGGCATTTAAACCTTGACATTTTATTTATTTTAAATTTTTTGCAAAAAATCATGGGGTACCCCCTTATAAAAAAAATAAAAATTGGCAAAAATTTTATTTTTCCAAAATCATACGGAAAGTTTTATGGATTTATTGATAATTTTGTTACCTGTTCAAAACAGTATTTATTTTTGGTGTAGGACCATTTTTGGCCAAGTTACATTAAAAAAAACCAAAAGAAAAAATTCCAATTCCAATCCAAAACAAAAACTGGTTTTTTCGCTAAAACAAAGCAAATACTGATTCAAAGTATGGAACTTTCCGAACTCCTTATTAAATTTCCAATCGATTGGCATTGAAACCTGGACTTTCTTTTTTTGTACTTTTTTTCCAACAAATCATTTAAAAAAATTTTAAATTTGCGAAAATTTAATTTTTTTAAGATCATATGGAAAATAACATGGAATTAACTATTATTGTGTTCCAAAAAACAAAACAGAAAAAATTCATGTTTATG